CTTATAAAGGAAAACATTTAATTGGGTCTGGCTTACAATTTCAGAGGTTTAGTCCATTATTGTCATGGTGGGAAGCATGGAGGGATTCAGACAGACAGGGTGCTGAAGAGATAGCTGAGCGTTCTCCATCTGGATCAATAAACAGGAAGAGAGGGACACTGGGCCTGGCTTGAGCATTTGAAACCCAGAAGCCTGCCAAACTCATCCCCCCCCCACCATGTGACACACTTCCTCCAATGAGGCCACACCTCCTAATCCTTCCCAAATAGTACTACAACTGGAGACTGATATTAAACTTCTGAGCCGCTGGAGAGATGGCTCAGCCTTAAGAGCACTGGCTGCTCTTTCAGAGGACCCAGGTTCAACTCTCAGCACCCACATGGCAGCTCACAACTGTCTGTAGCTCCAATACCAGAGGATCTGGCACCCTCTCAGAGACATGCATGCAGGCAAAAACTTCTGAGCCCATGAGGTCCATTCTCATCCAAACAAACACAGGAGCTGCTATCATTTGAAGTTGTAGCTGTGGACCACATCTGGCATGATGGCAGGACCTGGAAGCTGTCTAGAGGACCCTCTAGGGATGTGTTTGACATAAGTACCTGTTGTCTTCAAGCAATAAGGCTTTACTGTCAGGTTGTGGGGAGCAGCCAGTAGCCTTGGAAGTAGCCTGTGATGTTTGGAGATTTCCATGGGACCTCTATGGCCAATGACTCAACAAGATGTGACCCATTCCTGGCACTGGACATTTTACTTGGTGACATAGGTTTCTGGTTTAGTTGGAGCAGTCTCTCCCTGTCTTAGTTACTCTTCTGTTGCTGTGAGGAAACACGATGACCAAGGCAACACTTAGAAAAGAAAGCATCAATTGGAGTTTTCTTCCAGTTTCAGAGGTTTAATCTATTACAGCATGGCAGCTAGCATGGGAACACTCATGGCCCTGGAGCAGTAGCTAAGAGTTATATCCTGATGTGCAGGCTGAGATATAAGAGAGAGAGAGAGAGAGAGAGAGAGAGAGAGATAAAATAGATGGAGTGGGGGGGCTGGCAGGAGCTTTTGAAAACTCAAAGCCCACCCTCACTAACAAACTTTCTCCAACAAGGCTACACCTCCTAATCCCTTTCAAATATTGCCATTCCCTGATGACTAAGCATTCAAATATATGAGCCTCTAGGGGTCATTCTTACTCAGACCACCACACTTCCTTATTATATGGTGACTCCATTTAGATTCCCTTCACATATGTATATGTTTTAGGAAGGTTCTACAATAGTTGTTTTCATATGGTTTCTTTTTTAGAAATTTTAAAGATTTTAAAGTTTTGCCTGCTTATGTGCCTGCAGGCCAGCAGAGGGCACCAAATCTCATTATGGATGGTTGTGAGCCACCATGTAGTTGCTGGGAATTGAACTCGGGACCTCTGGAAGAGCAGCCAGGGCTCTTAACCTCTGAGCCGTCTCTCCAGCCCTCCATATGCCCCCCCCCCATGGCCTTAGTATTAGTTGTCCTTCCACATATTCCCTCTTTTACCTTTCTTTCCCACCCCCATTCCTACTAAATCCTATTTAGTTTTCCCTTCATTTCTTACAGCAAATATTCTGTTTCTCCACCCCTGGGAGATGCTCTCCTCCCCATAAGGTCCCTCTTACTAGGTACCTATCCTCTGGTTATTTGGATTGCAGCACACATAGAAATAGCTTCAAAGCGAATATCCACATATAAAAAAAAGCTTTTAAGACTGGTTTAGCTCTCTCTCTCTCTCTGAGACAAGGTTCCTCTGTGTATCCTTGGCTGTTCTGGACTCTTTGCTTTGTAGACCAGGCTGGCCTTGAATTCACAGAGATCCACCTGCCTCTGTCCCTGAGTGCTGGGATTAAAGGCATGTGGCACCAAGCCTGGCTGGGGCCGGGTTATCTCATTCAATTTCATTTTTTTTTTCCAGCTCCATCAGTTTACTTTCAAATTTTTAAATTTTATTTTAATTTTGGTTTTTTGAGACAGGGTTTCTCTGTGTAGCCTTAGGCTGTCCTGGAACTTGCTCTGTAGGCCAGGTTGGCCTCAAACTTACAAAGGTCTGCCTGCCTCTGCGTCCCAAGTGCTGGGATTACTTAAAGGCGTACACCACCACACCCAGCCATGGCGTGCTGGGACTAAAGGTATGCACCACCATGCCTGGCCTAATCTCATTTTTTTTTATAATTTAATATTTTATTGGTGTGAGGGTGTCAGACCACCTGGAAGTGGAGTTACAGTTGTGAGCTTCCATGTGGGTGCTGGGAGTTAAACCTGGGTCCTTTGGAAGGACAGACAGTTCTTTTAACCACTGAGCTGATCTCCAGCCCCTAATTTCATTTTTCTTAATAGTGTAAGAGTACTACATTTTCACTTTCCATTCATCAGTTAGTGGACATCCAGGCTGTTTCCAATTCCTGCCTGTATGGATAGAGCAGCAATGAACATGGATGAACAGCTATCTCCATAGTAGGATATAGAGTCTTTGGGTATATCCCAGAGAGAGAGCGGTATAGCTGGATTTTGAGGGAGACTCGAGGAACCACCACATTGATTTTCATAATGAGTGTACCAGCTTTCACTCTCACCAGCAATGAATAAGTGTTCCTTTTCCCCACATCCTCACCAGCATGTGCTCTCATTTGCTTTATTGATCTCAGGCATTCTAACTGTGGTAGGATGAAATCTCAAAGCTGTTTTAATTTGAATTTCCCAGATGACTAAGGATTTTAACCATTTCTTTATGTGTTTCTCAGCCATTTGTGTTTCATCTTTTGAAATTTATCTTATTTCTTTACCCCATTTTTAATTGAGTTATTTCTTTTCTTTTTCTGGAGACAGGGTTTCTCTGTAGCCTTGCCTCACTTTGTAGACTAGGCTGGCCTTGAATTTACAGAACTCTGCTTGCCTGTGCCTCTGAGAGTGCGGGAATTATTGATGTGCACCACCATGCCCAGCGGGGATTATTTGTTTTATCAAGTTTTTAAAATTCTTTGTATATTCTAGATGCTAGTCCTCTTATCATGTAAAATTGGTAAAGACATTTTCTCATTCTGTAGGCTTCTGTACAGCTTTTATACATATATGACCCTGTATGTGAGGTCAGCTGGGCTGGAGAGCAAGAAACAGTTCTTTTGGGTGGGTGGGTGGGTGGGGTTAGAGACTGGGTCTCTCTATGTAGCTCTGACTGTCCTAGAACTCTGTAGACCAGGCTGGCCTTGAATTTAGAGATCTGCCTGCCTCTGTCTCCTGAGTGGGATTAAAGGTGTGCTGACACTGCATGGCCAAGTCTTTCCTCCACCCCCTCCTCACCAAGGCTTCTCTGTGTAGCCTTGACTGTCTTGGACTCCCTTTGTAAACCAGGCTGGCCTCGAACTAGCAGGGATTTGCCTGCCTCTGCCTCTGCCTCTGCCTCTCTGAGTGCTGGGATTACAGGCATGTGTTACCATGCCTAGCTAAGACCTAGAGTTAAATAAATACAGAAGGCCAGCCTGCGCTGCAGAGGGATTTCCAGGACAGCTAGAGCTACACAGAGAAACCCTGTCTTGAAGGAAAAGGGGAAAAAGAATAAGTACATAGTAAATACATACAAAAATAAGTAAATAAATACATAGGGTATTTAAAAATTCTTTTTGATATTATTTTCTGATTGCCTAACAAACTCTCTCAGTAAAGTGCTTGCTACAAAACATATGGTCCTAGGTTCAATTCTTAGCATCCACAAGTACAGAAATGAACACCTATAATTTCAGTACTAGGGAATGGAGACACGAGGGTCCCTGGGGCCTGCTGGCCAGCCAGTCTACTGAATCAAGGAGTTCTAGGTTCATTGAGAGATCCTGTCTCAAAAATGACGTGAAGATTCATTGAGGAAGACATCTGAAGTTGACCTCTGGCCTCTACACACATACATTCAAATACTATCTCTTTCACTTAACATTCTTTCATAAAGTTTATTCAAACTTCTAATTTTTAGTTAATATATGAACTGTTTCATTATGCCTTTTATACACGTTATTAAATAGATACATAGATCATTGTACCTAACTTATATTTGCCCTCTTCTATTACCTACCTTTTTGTTTTTTTTTTTAGAACAGGTTTCTCTGTGTAGCCCTGGCTGCCTTGAAACTGGCTCTGTAGATCAGGCTGGCCTCTAACTCACAGAGATACACCCGCCTGCCTCTGCTTTCTGAGTTTAAAGATGTGTGCCACGACCACACACCTTTTTTTTTTTTTTACATGCTTTTTTTGAGACAAAGATTTTGTAAGGAGCACTGGCTGTCTTGGAACTTACTGTGTACAAGAGCTGGCTTAGAACGCACAGAAATTCACTGTTTCTGACTCCCGAGTGCTGGGATCAAAGCTTGTAGGAAACACATTCATAAACATGGAGAGCAAAAATCTTTAAAAACAGTAAAAAAAATTTCCTTCCATGAATTTCAAGAGGTCTAGGATTCGGCCCACTGCCTTTATATAGTTAAATAGCCTTCTTACTTCATCCAGTTATTAGATTCTAGTACCAATTCTCCCAATTAAGAAGGAATAAACCTAGCATGATGAGAAACACCTGAAATCCCTGCAATTGGGCGGTAGAGGCAGGAGGATCAATAGTTTAAAGTCATCTTCAAGGTACGCTGAGGATTCAGGCAAGTTTGGACTCCAAATGGCCCTTTCTCAAACAAAACAAACAAAACAAAACAAAACAAAACCCACACAACCTCGCACCCCTATCCCATCCCTAAACAAATCCCAGTAGAAGCAGAGGATTCTGGGTTTTGTAGTAGAGTCGTTTCAACGAGGGCCCATCTGTGCAAGAGACTACATTTCCCTGAAGGCGCTCCGGTCAGTTATCATATTGTCCCGCCTCCTAACTTCCGGCGTTGCTACCGTTTCTGAGACCAATCAGAGGGCGAGGTTTGTGCGCTTCCGGCTCTCTCATTGGCGCATTCGACCGGGTGTCTGAGTTCAAATTTTCAACTGTACCAGTCGAGTCCCTTGGCGGACGGGCGGCGCTGCCTTTTTTCGCTGGTGCAAGGCGAAGCCGGGTAAGTGGTGGGAATATGAGGGAAGCCGCGGTGCGCCGTGGACCATCCCTTCAGCTTCCTGAGAGGGTGGCGGGGTCGTCCCAGCGCGCGGGCTTCGGGCGTCGATGAGGGGGCTTCGCGGAGAAGCCTCAGATTCGGAGTCAGTATTCCTGGGAACCCCGGAGCAGGGGCTGCTCCGGACCCTCAGCCAGTAGGCTTGTTCGTGTTAGCACTGCTCTCCAGTTTCCGCACCAAGCGTGTTCCCTAAGCGCTCTTAGCTTTACTTCAGGGGAGGAAGTTGAGGCCTAGTGGCTGGAAATATCCCTGTCATTAAATAGCTTTGGTGGAGGAAAAGAGATGTGGCCACCACCAGCTGCGTTTGTCTGAGAGGTTTGTCTGCCAGCACAACCGAGGTAGACTTTAATTCCACTTTGATTGCGTTCTGCTTGGAATATAAAATTCATTTTATGTTATCCTTACCACCCTCTGCCTTTGTATCGAGTTTCTGCCTTTCTAGCTTTCTTTCTTGGGACATTTATAGATAGGAGGGGAAGGAAAGCTGTGACACAGATCATATAGTATTGTGGGTTGTGCTTACCCTTATTTTCTTGATCTGTAAGCGCATAAAATTTTCTCAATAGTAGCAAGGACTCACACCAAACAATTCCCGCTTTATGTATTTATGAATTTATTTATTTAATTCTGCACTTCTGGCTCATCCTTACCTTCTATCTTCACATCCTTTGCCTTTATTTGTCTTTCTCTCATATTTAACAAAAACACAAACTGTTAAAGAACTATTTACTACTATAGAAAAAATATTCTTTTTGCTGTTGTTTTGAGACAGGGTCTCCTTACATATCCCTGGCAGTCCTGGAAACGCACTATGTTGACCAGGCTGGCATCGAACTCACAGAGATCTGCCTGCCTCTGCCTCCAGGTTCCGGGAATAAAGGGATGTGTCGCTGGGCCTGGCTAGTAAGACTATTCTTGTGTGTGGCCTCAGTGTATACAACACCTGTCAAGTTCTCTCGTTTGGATTGTGTCTGTGCAGTGGTATCGAAGTTGTCATTTTCTGTTAAAAATTATTGTGGCCTTCAGCCAACGGGACCAGCTGATTGACCTTTGAGAGTATATCATGTGCTTAGGTTAGCTGATGTTAGATACAGTGTGTATGCAGATACATGATATATTCAAGGGTTTTCTGGTATGCTTGAGATCAAAATGGTTAATTCTTTGTATGTGCATGTGTGTGGTATTGGGGTTTGAACCCAGTATCTTGCTCATCATGAGGGAGTGTCTGGGGTGCTCTGTCCTTGTGTGTGTGTTGGTAATGATTACTCTTATTGAGATAGGGTCTTGTGTAGCTTGTGTGGGCCTGAAAGGAACTATATAGCATAGGCTGTTCTTTACATTTTTTTTTTCTTATGGACTATTTATTTTATATACATTAGTGTTTTGCCTAATCATATGTCTATATGTGGGTGCAACTGGAGTTCCAGACTGCCATGTGGGTGCTGGGAACTGAACCTGACTCTTCTGAAAGAGCAGCCAGTGCTCTAACTGTTGAGCCATCTCTCCAGCTGGTATAGGCTGCTCTTGAACTCCTAATCCTTCTTCCTTCGCTGCCAGTGCTGGGTTTCTAGTGTGCACTCTATGTTGTGCTAGGGACTGAGCCCAAAACTTTGTGTATGCTAAGCAAGAACTCTACCAATTTCTGTTTTTAAGACAGAACCAGAGTAAGTTACCATTATGTAAGTAAAAGCATTGTTTTGTTTTGTTTTACAAGTATTCTAGCAATTTAGAAGTGGAGCTGATAAGACTGAATACAGGGAAGGTTGGACTTCTGAAATGTTGGGATACAAACTGACTCTTGAAAGCAGGGTTTGGCTAGGCAGGGATAAGAACAGCCAGGCTGCATATGTGTTTAATTGGATGGATAGGAAGGCTATGTCTTAGTTGACAGCAGAAAAGAAAGTGTGGAGAAACTGGATCATACTAAGTGGGTCAGAAATTTTGAAGTTTTTAGTATGCAAATAAATGCATTCTTTTGAACAGACTTATGCTAATGTGCACAGTAGAATCAGATTCTCATCAGATTATCTTGAAGGTACAATTAAATTCGGTCAAAAAAGTTATGTGGAAAAATCCTTTGTTTCTGGTTCTGGTATCAGGAGAGACTGAGTTTTACATTCCCTTTATATTTTTCCTTTAGGTTTTCTTGGATCTGTTCTCTATAATGTGAGCCTATACATCCAGCCTCTTTCCTTTTCAAAATTTTATTTAAAAAGATATATGTATATGTATAAACTTTTGGGAGAAGATCAGAGAGGAGAATTTATGTATCTTCTCACAAACTTCACTATTTTTGCCATGTAGCAGTTAGGAAGCAGAATTGATAATTGATTGACTAGCCTGAGTTATTATATAGATTTGTATTTGAGACAGACACGTGTAAATCAGCAGCCCAAGATCCTTTATAAGAAAAAGATGGAAGCCTGGTTGTGGTGGTGCATGCCTTCAATTTCAGCAGAAGCAGAAGCAGGTGGATCTCTATGAGTTTGAGCCCAGCCTGGCTTACAGAGCAAGTTCCAGGACAGCCAGAGCTATACAGAGAAACCCTGTCTCAAAAACAAAACAAAAAGAAAAAGATGGAAATTAAACAATAATAGAAAGAAGCTGGGCTCTGTGATGCACACCTGTAATCCCAGCACTAGGGGATACAGAGGCAGGTGGATCTCTGAGTTCCAGGCCAACCTGGTCTACAAAGCGAGTCCAGGACAGCCAAGGCTACAAAGAGAAACCCTGTCTTGAAAAAGCAAAAAAAAAAAAAAAAGTGTTATATTAGTCAGTGTTCTCTAGAAGAGCAGAACACACACATAGATATAAACATACATACATATATGAATGCACACACACACACATATATGGGGTTTATTAGACTTATAGAACGTGGTCCAGCTAGTCCAGCAATGGCTGTCTACCAATGGAAGTTCCAAGAATCCAGGAGTTGTTGAGGCCACAAGGTTGGCTGCATCAGCTGGGCTCTAATGTCAGTGAAGGAATGGACTTGCCAGTGAAAACAAGCAGGCAAAGAGCATGCTTCCTTCTTCCATGTTCATCTTCTGTCAGCAGAAGATGTGGCCCAGATTAATAGGTGAATCTTCCTACCTCGAACGATCTGGATTAAAAGTGTATTTTCCTACCTCAAGAGATTCCTATTAAAAGTGCATCTTCCCACTTCAAATGATTTAATTAAGGGGGAAAAAAAAAATCACAGGTGTACTTAGCTGTTTGGGTTTTAGTTAATTCTAGTTGACAATTAAGAATAGCCGTCACAAGTTGACCCCTTTTCAACTTGACACACAATCATATCTACTTATGCCATTCTTAATTTCCAAATGAAAACAATAGCCAGGTCATAATTACACCTGACATGATACAGCTATCCTTCATAGAACTGCAAATGCATTATGAATATTAAACTAGAGGTACTGTCCATTGAGGGACATTCTTTTGGTATCTTAAAACTTAAATATGATATTCTCTTAATTGATGCTTCATTGCATGATAAAGAAATTGAGGATGAGGGAGGGGGCTACAGCTGGGATGCAAAGCGAATAAAATGTAATTAATGTAAAAAAATAACAATTAAAAAGAAATTGAGGAAAGAAAACAAATCTGTATAAATACATTCTGAACAAAATATGACAGAAACACTCATGTCAATTTCATTTTTAAAGGTTTATTTGTTTGTTTGTTTGTTTATGAGTAAATGCCAGAAGAGGGCATCAGAACACATTATAGATTATTGTGAGCTACCATTTGGTTGATGGGAATTGAACTCAGGTCCTCTGGAAAAACATATAGTGCTCTTAACCGCTGAGCCATCTCTCCAGCCCTTATGTCAATTTTAATCCTTATTTCTGCAACTGGTATTTATAACTACCTTCCTCTACTACCCATTCTGTATTTCCTCCTCCACCCTCAGCAAACTCCCCCCACCCCTCAGGAGTGACACATTCCTTCATTTTTGAAAGGTCTGTGCCTTTTCGTCATCCTCCCTGGATTAGATTGCTGTAGTTTCCCACTGGTTTTAATCATAGGACACAGTAGATACCCTAAAGGATCTGTTGTACTCCAGACTTAGTCTTTCTTACCTACACTGTGGAGAAGCAATCCAGTTTCTTCTTGCCGATCTGGCTCAATCATGCCCCTTCCTCCTACACCGTTATTTTTTTCTTTGGCTATTGGCATCAGAAACCCAAAGTGGCCAAGGGGACGTCTCTGAACTTCCAGTTCAATGGGATGTTTGTTTTGACTCCTGGCAGGACTGCTGCCCACTGTGAAACCAAAACGTCTAAGCCAGCAGAACTTAGGGCTGAGGGAACAGAAGCAAACTTTTCCTACTGGGTTCCTAGGGGTGATAGTGCATGGAATGACTCCCTTTCGACACCTTGATTCCTGGACCCATGGGTTCTGGCTATATATACTGTTATATATATGTAATATATATGCTGATTCAAATCATGTACCACCTTCTGGAGAACTCTTTGCCAGCCCTCCAGGCTGCTGTCACCTCACTGCTGCTGTAACTGTCCTCAAAAGGTCATCCCATCTTTCTGTCAAGCCAGATGCTTCAGGATGGTGAGAAACATGGTAAGACTAGTGGATTCTGTGGTTGTTAGTCCACTGCTGCAAGTCTCTGGCTGTGAAGTGAGCCAGAGTGAGCCTAATCCTCTAGCCACCCCGCTGTTGCCCATGGGCCCCTGAACAAAGTGTCCATGATGACAAAATGGAGGTTATGCATGGGCTCAGCAGCATAGATTCCCACTCACCAAAGCTGACGTGGCTACAGCTGCTTCTGAATGCCAGAACTGCCAACAGCAGAGACCAACACTGAGCCCCAGATATGGCTGAAGTGCTGCCCACTGTGAAGATTTCCCGTTGCTGGTATTTCAGGGGCATAATGCTGTAATTAGGCACTTCTGGTTGGTGCCTGCCTAACATGCAGAAACATC